CTCCAGAACCTTGAGATCACAGCCCGAGCTGAAATCAGGCGCCAGATGCTTAGCTGACTGAGCCACTCAGGGACCCCACAAGGGTCTACTTTACATCAAGAGGTCATAAAGGCAAAAACCCACCCGATCTCTGGGGGAACCCGTTCCTTGCCACTTGCAGCTCCTGGGGTTGCTGGTGTCCCTCTGCCTGTCTTCATACAGCCTGCCCCCCCGGGGTGACCTCGTGTGCCTGGGGGGCACCTTCTTTTGCTTCTTAGAAGGACACGTGTGGGGGCGTTGGGGACCCACCATTGTACTCCATGGCCATCTCATCTCAAAGTCCTTAACTGTATCTGTGATAGAGTTATCTGTGATATCAGATACACAAACCCCTTTTCCAGAGAAGGCAAATCTACAAGTTCCAGGGATCGGGACTTGATTCTCTGGGTGGCCGTCGTCTGATCTACAAGACGCGGTTCTCTCAGCAACATTTGTGGAGAAGATGGCCCTTTTCCTTGTGAATCAGGACTTGGGCACTGCTGAAACCAACTGACCAGAAATGTAAGGGTTGATTCCTGAACGCTCAACTCTGCTCCACGGATACCCCCCCGCCCCAGTCCGTAACGTCTTGCTGACTGCACTACCACGGTAACTCTTTAAATTAGGTCATTCAAACCCTTCAACTTTACTCTTCTTTTTAAATATTGTTTTGGCTACTATAGGTCTCTATTTTCATATGAATTTTAGGATCAGCTTGTTGATTTCTGCATAAAATCTGCAGGAATTTTGGTCAGGACGGCACTGAATCTGTACGTCAATGTGGGAAATCCTCCAGTCCAGGAACACGGAATGTCTCTCCATTTATTTAAATCTTTAATTTCTCGTAGCAATATTCTCTACTTTTTATACTTTTCAGCGTACAGGTCTTACAGCTATTGTTAAATTTGCCTACTTATTTTAACGCTATCATTCATGGTATTGTTTCCTTAATTTCGTTTCGCAACGCTGCTGATGCACAGAAATACGATTCATCCTCATGTATTGGTCTGGCATCGCCTGGTCTCCTTAAACACACTTGTTACTGCAGCTCTTCAACCAATGCCTTGAGTTTCTAATATAGTGTCATCCGCAAATGAACTTACTTCCTTTTTCCGGTCTAATTCCTTCCCCGCTCCTCACTGCACAGGCCAGATTCTGCAGACAAACTGTGACTGGCAGTTAGGACTTTTTGTACCCATGTTCAGGAGGGAAATGCATTAGTTTTCTTTTCTTGTAGTCTGTCGGGCTTTGGTATCACAGGAATCAGATAGGATGAACAGAGACGTTCCCATCGCCTCCATTTTTCCTGAAATAAACCTGTGAATCATCGGTATTGCTTGTTTTCTAAACGTTAGACAGAATTTACTAGTAAAGCCATCTGGATTTGGACGTTTTTGGGAGAAGATGTGAAATGACTAATTCAACGTATTTGTTACACTTTACTCAGATTTTTCTTATAGAATTTGTTAGTCTGTGTCTTCCTCGTTCACGTTGTCTAATTTGCTGGCATAAACTTGTAATATTCTTCTACAATCTTTTTAATTTCTCTGGGACTGGTGGCGCGGTCGTCCCTCCAGGCCCTCACCTGCTAACCTGTGTCTTCTCGGCTACTTTCTTGGCCAATCCTGCAGGGCTTGTCAACAGTTTCACTGATTTCCTCTATTTTTCTGTTTTATTTCCTCTATGCTTTATTTTCTCCCTTCAGGCCTCGTTTGCTCTTCTTCTTCCAGTGTCTTAGGGGAGCAGCTTAGGAGACTGACTGGCAACGTTCCTCTCTTTCCTGACACGGGCATTTAGAGCTACGGACCCTTCTGGCCCCTGCTCTCGCGCCGTCACATGAACTCCTCCACGAGTCGGTTCGGCAGGTTTAAGCAGCTTCCCTTGCGACGCCCCTTGGATGGCGGACTTGCGCTGCCGCAGCCTTTCCGGTTCTCCTCTGAGAATCTCCGACTTCATTGTGCTGCGTTTTTCTATGGTTTCCATCTTTTTAAATTTACTGAGACTTGGTCCCAGCCCCGCGTGCGGCTTAGCGCAGAGGCGCCGTGCAGCGGGAGGCCGAGGGCCGCAGGCTCCTGGCGGGCGGCGGCACGGACGCAGGCGGGTTTGCGCGAGCTGCTTCCCGCGCCGCCCAGGCCCTCCTCGCGTCCTTCCCGCTGGCTGTTCCGTCAGCGGCGACGGCGGGTTTGCTCGCGTCTCCGACTGTTCCGGTTACATTATCTGCTCTTGCAGTCACGCTAGCTCCGCGTCAGGGAGGTTAGGTCGCGCCTTCAGGAGCATTTTCACCTCCAACCGTTGTGTTTTCACTACGCGGACACTTTGCATCATTCCAAGGCGTCGCTATCTGCACTAGTATCTCGTCCTCAGAGCCTTTCTGATACGGACACTGGTCACTCGAGCGTGCGGCTCTCCGTGCGCGGCACATCGCTCACCTCCGGACGTTCTGTGTCCCCGAACGTGGTGTGTCCCGGCCCGGCCTGTTTCTGCGAAGCCGGACACCCTCGGCCCCTGATGAAGTGTCCTGCCCGTTTCCGTTCTAACGCGGCCGCCTCCACGGTGAGTTGCGCTTCTGCTGCTGTTTCTCGCCGATTTTGTACCCGTTCTTCCTTGCGTCGCTTTCTTTCGTGTTCAATACTGCTCCACTTCCTATTCTCAGTCTGATTTCCCCAGTCATTTCCCGCCGCAACGGGGCGGTCCCCGGCAGAGTCCTCAGGAGGGGCTCGTGAACAGTACTGAGCTCCAACCTAAAACTGTTTCCTACCAACTCCTCACCTGAAAGGCTGCTTTTCTGGACACTTCACATTTCTTTTCCCCTCAACTCTCCGCACAGGGCTGTTTTCTACGTTGCGTCTCAGACGTTTTACTCCACGTGTGCTCCCCCATCATTAAACCTCCCAGCCCCTCCTCCTCTTCACGAGACAGTGGGTAAGATCACGAAGGCTCGGTCTTCTCTACAACAAAACCCATACTGCCCATGTGTGTTAGGAGTGATTTCATTTGATGTCCTCATAAGGACCGTGTTTTGGGAAGACAGAGATAACGGAGACGGACTTGGCCATAATCGTCCTCACACATCCTGTCGTCTGGGATGCTACGGTTTTGCGTCCACAAGGAAAGATGGCGTCAGGCCTACACATCTGATTCTTATCTTCTTCCGTGGATTTAAAAATGCACATTATAATATTTCTGTTATTGAAATGCAGCCTACAACTGGCACAGTGCCCTTCAGTGGTACATAAACAAATGTGTGCGGCCCCGTGTGTGGAGATCCAGCTTTGAAATACTGCTCTTTTCTGTCCCTACTTGTCCGGAGCCCGTTTCCTGAGCTGGAGCCTGGCTGTAGACGACAGCCGGGGAGCAGTCACCTGGCTCTTCCCACCCCGCGGGCACCTGCGCCAAGTGAAAACAGTCCCCCGGTGGCTTCCGTGCTGCTTGCCCCAGCCAGGTCACAGACAGAGCCCTCCAGAACCTCGAAGTCTCCGAGAAACGTGTGCCCTGCTTCAGAGTTGAGAGCGGTTTTCCCTCAGCATCCTGCCTCACTTTTACACGACTGTGGTTCCTAGCGTGTCTGTTTTGTGGCGTATATAACTGGATGTTGGTCACTGTGTAGTTTTAAAAGAAAGACTTTAGTTTTGCTTTTTTCTTCAAAATGCTGATTTTCCCAAGGGCTGAAGTTAACCACCGTGTGTTGTTTCCACCTTCTTTCCGGGAGCTTCTGTCATTTTTAAAACACAGCAATGACTATCTAGATGGTGAAATGGTGACTCAGAAAATATTACACAAACATCTGCAAAGTTGCTGTCACCATCTGCCAGTGCCAGCAACAGCTCAGAGCGGCCCAGGGGCGACCGGCAGGAACCCACAGAAGCCCAGGTACTACACACTGAAGAAAGGCACTAAGACATCTAATGAGTATTTTCTAAACAGACACCGAGAATACTACCCAGTGTACGCAAAAAAGTCAAGAGACTATTCTGTTGAACATATTACACGTGCAAATGGACTGGTTATTAGGAATGTAGGTTTATTTCATTAAAAAATAAAGGAAAAGATTCATCCCCAAAGACAGTCCCGTGTCCTTCAAAGCAGCAGCAATCACAAGGCACGTGCGTACAAAATACCTCCAGCAAAGCAGAAACTAAACATTAAAAATAGGTTATTCAAGCAGACGTTGAAGACCATTTGTTACTATGAACACACTGTAACAAGGGCATTCTTACACATTTTTTTAAACAATTTTATTCCTTTACCTTTACTAAGACAAGAATCAATGGTTTAGTATTTACGCACTACCCCGTGGCACCCAGAACAAACGTTTATACCACCGAGCCTGGTTTGCCAAAGAAAAAACAGCTGAAGAACAATTTAAAAACGTTAGGTTTAGTGCGTTCACATTTTCAGATATTTGAAATCCGTAAGCTAACAGGAAAAGTAAATTTCCTTCACTTTGAAAAAGACTGTCGTTACGTGTCCTCAGGCAAACCCACTCCACAAAAAAGGACTACATTCCGGATATTCTAAAATATCAAGGACATGATTTCTATTCTGGGAACATCACAGTGACCCTCTTCCTAAAACAGATTAGAAGTCAACACATAATAAATGTGAAGGCCAATTCCATTAAAATAAAGCAGTACTCGACTTAAATTATTGATCACTTAAGAAATACAGTGACTACTCACTCCCTGGTTAGGATGTTGGATTAGGTATTAGAAATGGGGTAACAGCAATATTTAGTGTATGTAAAAATTCTGGGATTCAAATACATTACGACGAAAAGTTTGTCATAATCACACAAAAGTGTTTCCTTACACATCAGCCGCCGCGGAGCTGCGCTGGACGAGGGCTGAATGAGATGTGGTTGAGTCAGGCCCTCGAGAAGGGGGCTGTGTCCCAGCCGGACGGGCGTCCCTCCAGCGCGAGTGCTGCAGAGACGTAACTCGAGAAACACTACGGACTGCTGCTCGCTCTCTGCCGCTGGAGGGAGGTGAACTGAAGCTCCGTTTTTAAACAACAAAAAAGAATATAAAATACTAGTACAGTAGAACACTTAAATAGTACTAAATAGCACAATTTAAATACCAGTTATCTGCTGTCATTAGTTCTCTTCTTAAAAAAAAATCCGTTCCTGGACTTTCAGTGTGTTTCCTTTTTAAAGCTAGCCAGCATCCTCCTCGCGGTTGGGTGGCAAGTCCGCACCCACGCAGCCGGCGGCCACCCCCGCAGGTCCCCGCAGGCCCCGCCCAGGTCACAAGGCAGTGACGCGGAGGCCCGTGCGTGTGCCGTGTGGCGGCCGCCCAGCAGGCCCGAGGCCCCGACCTAGAGCAGCACGGCCCGGGCCGCCTCCTTGATGGTGCGCGCGGCTCTCTCCAGCTCCTCGTCGGTCTGCTCCACCGTGACCACAACCCTGATGCTGAGAAATAACGACACAGGACATCGTCAGAGTCATCTCCGGCACCTGCTCCGGCCCGTCGAGTCCTACCGGGACGCGGCACGGCCAGCAGCGGGCCTGCCGTCTACAGCCCCCTCCTCACCGCGCGGTGCAGTGCGGCAGGGACCCTCCGTCCCACAGGCCTGGACGTGGACCGGCCAGGTCCAGAGTCCGCCTCTCCCCGCCCGACTGCGCCGGCAGCCTCGCCCGCCCCGTCATCTCCTGCCCCGGCAACGCTGGCCCGAAGCCGGAACTCAGCCCACTCAGGTCCGTGCCTGCACCCCACGCCCGTGGACGACTCAGTCACGTGAAGCTCGGGGACACGGAGGCAATGCAGAAACGGTTAGGTTTTCGGGAAACTGGAAACTACAACTATCGCTCTGACTGGCAGTTTTACCTCTTCTCCCCTCGCCCCTCTGCAAACACCCGTATCACCTGCCGGACATGGCACCGGGCTGGGCAGGGAGCGCCAAGGGCACAAAGCGAGTGTGGCCCGGGCTCCGGAAGCCGGGATCACAGCTCTGCCCGCGCGCGGTCAGACGCGAGGCGGCAGGGCCTTCAGCGCACCTCGGAGCTGCTGCCAGCGGTCGTCCAGAAGCCCTGCCTGGACCTCCACGTCTACACGGTGCTCGGGACTCGTGTCGCCCCGGAACCCCGTTCTTCAGGCTCCCTGTTCTCCAGGGCCCTCCGGCGTGTCCCTCTCAAGCTCATGCTCCGGCCCCCGCAAGCACCCGAGGGTCTGGACACCACTGCCCGCCCTGCTAGAAGGGGCACCCGCAAGTCTGAGAAACTTGACCACACTCTGAGGCCTGAGCACCGCCTGCTCTTGGCAGCCTGGGTCCCTTCCAAGCGGGCATGGACCGCGCCCTCCACCTCTGGCCTCGCCGACCCTGCGCTGCGGCCCTGAGCACTGCCGTGTCTCCATCCTCAGCTACACGGGAAGCGCTGAGGAACGAGCACCGTCTTAAATCAGGAGTCCAAGCGCTCCCCTCCACGGACGGCTTCTCGGACCTCTGCAGATCTTCCCCACTGTTGCCCTGTTTTCCCCTGGGTGGTTTATACGTGTTTGCCAGCTCAAGTGCCACACGGCGCTCCGGCCAGCTTTGGGGTCAAGACCACTGTCCGGACACGCCCCTCCCCCAGGTCGGCCCTCAGGGCGGACAGGGCCGGCACAGCGCGTGCAGCTTAGGGTCGTGGCAGACCTCTGTGGACCAGAGCTCAGTCCTGGGGCCTCACACATCTGAGTTAACTGAGGGAGTACAGTGAATCCTGGGGGGGCTTTACCGTTAAACGTTTTTAAATGGCTGGTTTAAGAAGAGAAAACAGACGGCGTACGGCGTAGCACGGGACACTCTTCCGTATCCCGTGACAGCCTTCCAAACATCCCCAGAACAGAACACATTTTATACAGACTTCTGAAAGGAGGAAACACAGGCCCAGTCACACGGTAACGTCCACCAACCTTGGAGGAGGGAGGCACTTCTCTTCCTTCTCCAGGTAGCGTGCCTGCGTTAACGCGATGCTTCTGTTCATGCACTGCAGGAAGAAGAGGGACACGTTTGCAAGCTGGCTGCGGCCACTGTGGTCATTACAACAGGAACGGCCTCTGAGATGCTGTCCGTAACCGCAGCGCTCATTCATTTTTCCAGTTACAACTATGAGAAGGCAAAACGGCGACACCAGGACCCCATCCCGAGCGGCCCCAAGCGGCATGACCGTCCCACGGCGGCCTCCGCTCCACGCCGCCCAGCCGTGTGGCTGCCTGCCACTGTGAGACAGGGCCAGTGCCACCGAGACTCCACTTTTAATCTTCCTCCACTCAAATAGCCACAGGTGGCTGGGACTTTCCATCTTAAGCAAAGCAGGAGTAGGACGTGGGGAAACAGTGACAGCAAAGTCCTGGACACCACCCCCAAGTCGGACTGCACAGTGACACCGGAGCGGTCTCAGAGACAGACCACCCCACGTCAAGCACCAGCAGCTCCTCGCATCCCACACCTGCCTTCAAGCAGGTCCTACCAGGCTGCAAGAGTCTGGTGTCCCCCACTGTTTGTGTCGCTTTTCCATACCATAACCATCTGTCAGTATTGTTTTAAAAATTCAAACATTCTCCCTCAAAATAAAGAAAGTATAAAAATCAGACTGAAGTCACGGTTTATCAGGGTTTCTTTCCGGGAGATGAAAATGTTCTCAAAGGATGGGGGTGTACAACCTTGTGAGTGTGCCCACAAACACTTGACTGCAGCACTTTAAAAGGATGCATTTTTTGGTCTGTGAATTATAAAAAAGCATCAGTCAGAGCCAGGGGACCGATAAAGGAAGGAACAAACATTTCCAGGGCTGGGCAGTGAGGGTGTCGGCCCGAAGAGGGGCCACGCCGTCCGCGGCCAGGCTGCCCTCCCAAGGCTACACACACCACCGGAAACCCCCAGCAGGCCACACCGCAGACGCTTACTGACGCAACAGCTGGAGTGTGCTGGAGGAGCTAACTCCTGAAAACATCTGGACTGGCTCTGCTCCTCGCCCTGGCCAGCTAAGAAACATAAACCACCGTCTTGTCCAGCCACTCAACAAGCACTTGGCAAGAGCTCCGTGTTCTGCAAAGCTCACGCGAGAGTCTCCGCTCTCCAGCACCGACCAGCAGTGAGGCAGAGCTTGGGACGAGGACGCAAGGACGGAGCTCTCTTTTTTTCGCAAATGCAGTTTCCAGACTGTGTTTTGTCCCTCCCCAGAGGCCCTGCTCCCGGATTCCGCGCTCATGAGGATTTCCTGGAGACAGCCGGTCTCGGGCTGGGGCCTCTGACGGAGTCTGGTCTCTGTGAGCTGTGTAGACTCTAGCCCTCTCTTCTGTCTCAGGACGAGCAACGCAAGCATGGCCTGCGTAGCCGATGCTCTTCTCGCCCACCCTCCGCAGTGTCTCTGGCACCAGTGGAAGGAACCCCACTGCCGGGGTCTCTCAGTGGAACGAGCGCCCCGGCCGCAGGGACGGCCCAGGTCCCGCAGCGTGGAACCGGGGCACACAGCCGTCCTGCGGGGGCCGGGTGAAGGAGCCTGGAGTGACGGGGGGTGTGGCTCCCGGAGGCTGCTCTGCAGAAGTCCGCGTCCGGCCCCACACCGGACAGTCTCAGCGCACAAGCTCGCCTGTCACAGAAGCCACCGTGACGGCTCTGCCTTGTACGCTGTGTCCATGAAGCCTGCGCTTAATTTACACACAATTCTGGTGCCGCACGGAAGCACAGGGATGCTGCACTTTCTCTCACGTCTGTTTGTGCTCGAGTGACATTGCGGTCCAAGTGCCGAGGTGGTAAAAGGTGCCTCTGGGATGTTTCATCCCGTGAGAAGGCGTCTGACTTTTCCCATTCTTGCAGAGCGGAACCCGAGGGAACACCTGTGGCATCTCTGCACTCGGAGGGCAAGAGTCACCGCGGCCCGACTGCTCATCATCACACATTTCCTCAGGTTCTGTGCCTGCTTTTGTTTTGTAAGATGACCGACTCCGGAGGGCCTGCGTGAAGCCCTCCACGATGCGTCCTTCTAAGTGACACAGTTCACACTGTAGGACGCCGGACAGCAAGCTGGGAAGCAGAGGCTGACGTCACCTGCGTCTCCATACTGAGCAGCCACGTGACCAGGGACAGAGGCGTGACCACGTGGCCACAGCCAGGCAAAGGCACTCTAGAAAGGACGGCCATCGCCCTGACGTCCGGTGGCACGGGCTCGGAGCGGGAGCCCCTGGAAGGAACCGTCCGGACGAGCAGGGCAGGGAGGCAGAATGCAGCCTGTTTCACTCTCGATGCACGCTAGCTGGGCCGCAGAACCAGGTAAAGGCGGGCCCCCCGGCCCCCTTCGCTCGCTCGCGGTGCCGCCTGGCCACTTCCAACCCTCTGCGAGGGAGGACAGCAAGGAGCCGCACGGAGCGAGTGAGCAGGGCCGGCTCCGGAGACATGGCTCTACTGAGCACAGATGGGCACACGGCCTTCCCCAGAGAGGCGCTTCTCAGTTAATAACAAAGTTACAATTAGTAGTAAATCACCTTCAGAAGATATTTAAATCAACCTCCAAATTAGGCCTGGGAAAGGAGCGAGCGGTCTGTCTTCCTTTCTGGTTACAAGACGATTCTGACCTGTCTCTGGGCTACGCTGGGGGTTCAGCCCAGACAGCTGGCCACCGCTCTGTGGGATCGTCGTGACTCATGACGCTACCCCCAACGCGTATGCAGGCCTGGCTCTGGACATGCTAAGCGAGTGGAAGGCTACCAGTCAGACGTTTAGACATTGCGTGGGTTCAGGGTAGAAGAACTACATACTTACATGATTTACAATCTCCTGAAGTAGTTTAACGTCTTTTTCTCGAGACCCGGTGCTGTCTGTGAGCTGTAGGTGAAACGCTGGAGAAAGGGACTCCCCCACCACTTTTAACCCAGAAATGCTGAAAGGAAACACACACACAAGCGTTAAGTCGCTTCTGGGCACAAGGATGTCCCACGTCTAAGTAACCGTCCGACATCTGCATTAATGAATGGAACAGCGGCTTGTGGCTTCTCCAGGAAGCGTCACGTGGCGGTTCCAGCCCCGAGAGGGACAGCTGAAATCCACACTCTTGCCCAGGCTCGCCAGTCTAGATCCTCCTGCAGGGCCGCTCTGGGAGTGTGGCTGGGAAGGCGATCGCTGTCCCGGCAGACGCCTCTGGCTCACTCCTGCAGGCCGCTCCCTGCTCCCTGGCCCACAGGCCCCCTCCTCCTCTGCCCGTCTCCCTACGCTCTGCAGCTGGTCAGGAAGCCAGGTCCCAGCCTGAGGACCGCCTCCTGGGGCCTCCCTCCCAAATCTCTCCTCTAGGGAAGCGTCTACACCCTTGTCTCCTATTACTGTTTCCTTCATGACTCATGATTGATAATGTGCCCCTGCTCATTACCTCAGTCTTTATTTGTATATCGTCCTTCCCAAATTACACGGATGACTTCTGACATTAAAAACACTGCATTTTGACCATCAGAAGTATGTTTAGATTATACAGTTCCCTTCTTATTTGCATGTTTTCTGTTAAGTTACTTGAATTATGACTATTTTCATCTTTCTTAGGATTTAACAGCACAGACATCTGTAGCTTCTCAGGTGAGGAGAGAGATTTCCTTAGGAGTGAAATCCTGCATTTTCAAATGTTTATTACAGATGGCAAGAGAACCGCAGCACAGGTTCATTCAAAGTTCATTTTTATCTGTTACTAGTAATAGTTTGATTTTTGACTCAACTCCTAGGCTACAAATGGTGACATATGACTATTTGAAATTGAGCTAAACATTTTAAAAATTTCTTAAAATAAAAAAAAAAAAGTGCTTTTATTTACTTATCTGAGAGAGCACAGCTGCACGAGCAGGGGGAGCAGAGGCAGAAGGAGGAAGCAGACTCCCCGCTGAGCAAGGAGCCCGAGGTAGGACTCGACCTCAGGACCCTGGGATCATGATCTGAACCGCAGGCAGATGCTTAACTGACTGAGCCACGCAGGGGCCCCGAGCTAACATTTTAGATTGCCTCTGGTTAGCTAGCTTCACTTAGAGAGCTCTGCTTCCCCCTCAGAATGAGATTAGCACAAAAGTACTTCGTAGCACACTTGACTCCTTCAGCACACTTAGGACTCACCAAGCTTTACTGAATGACTGGTGTGCGTCAAGCATCATGTGAGATGCCAGAAGCCAACTTCAACTGCCTTTAAAACCACCAATGAGCACTGCAATTTGTGTCTTCTTCCCTTAAATGTAATCAATCCTACTAGGACCTTTCAATAAACCAGGCTGCAGAACAGTGCACAAAAATACACCGTAATCAAATAGGGATTTACTCCAGAAGGCAAGCATGGTTTAACACCAGAAAAATTGTAACAATGTAATTCAGCAAAAATCTATGATTTTTTAAAAAGCCTCCAAATCCAGGAATAATTTGATAAATACCATGTACAGAAAACTTTCAGTATGAAATTTCATACTTACTGAAGAAATGCTTTTGTACTGGGAATGACGGAGGCATCACCACTATGACAGAAGATGTCAATAGTGTGTTAGCGACCTACACCAACGCAGTAAGAGAAGAAAAAGAACTAAGATGTCCCAAGAAGCTGGCAGGAAGACAGAACCACAGGACTCTTATATACATCATCATGAACAGAATGAAACAAACCACTAGGAGTCTGGAAAGACTGCTGGACAGGAGATCATGAGGACAAAGTGCAAACTCCAGAGAAGACTGGCTACAAGGAGAAGCGACAACTGGCAGCTCATGGAAAAGGTGGGGTCTTCGAGGGAAAGAGGCAGTTAAGAGACAAGACGGTGGAGTGTACCCAGTGCTAATCAAATGACTCCGGAAAGGGTGACAAAAAAGAGGGGACAGCCAAAGGTGCTGGGCCCTTGATGGGGAAGAGCTACGATGGCAAGAGACAACTTCTCCAGTTGTAGCTCGATGGAAGACTGGTTCAGATGCCTGCGTGTGTACAGATTTGTGAGAGAAGAGGGAATCTGAGTGAAAGCAGTGGAGCCAGGCTGTGCGCTGACGGTGCTGCGTGGAGTAAGGGCGGGGCCTGAAGACCTGGGAGGAGACAAAGGCGGGAAAGAGTGGGGAAGGTGGAGCGCTGGCCTTACAAGGTGCACACACTGACACCACTAGACAGAATGAAGGGCCCCGAGTGTTCCTGAATTTATAGTGACTCGGACATGCTGTACGGTGCTGGCATATTAATATTTCATAAACCAAGTAACTGGAACCAACACGAATATTATCTCCTAACCATAAATCATGCAAGAAGAACTTTTGTTACTACCATGTAGACACACCCAGAACTTTAATTATTTCTGCCCTTGCTTTATCTGGAACAGCTGTGATCTGCTCATTTACTCACTGTCCTTGTCCTTTAGAAAAGCTTCCAGCTTCCACATCTGTCAACAGGTAGGACTTTCATGATTGAAAAGACATGTTTCCATCTTAGGAAAGGCAAAGGAAATACCTCGGGCAACGTGAGATCATCTTCTGTAAGACCAGGAATCTGCATGAAGGTGCCACCCACCTGAATTTTTTTCTCCATTCCAGAGAAATCTTAGAGTTTCTCTCGTGTAGTTAAGACAAACAAGTAAAAACTCCTCAGGTTCATGTCAATTTCACCTGTTTTTCTTGTATTAATTTAAAATAAAACTTTGTAACTATTTTCCAAAAATTATGGCCAGTATGAACCCAGCGTCAACTAATTCTACAGCATATAATGATATCATTTTATCTGTACAGATGGAAGCGATTCTCCCATGTTTACCCGAGTGTGGAGCATGTTTGGTGGTTATTTTCGCCTTGTACTGTCCGTATCACTATAATATCAGTGAGCTTCAGCCCTTTTTAGAAAAACAAAGTCATGGATCTTCAACCACAAATGGATGTTCTGGCTTCAAGCCCACAGACAAATTGGACTGAATGGAGTTTCTCCTTTTTTAGTTGTAATTCAGTTGAACTGATCTAAGCCTATTAAATATACTCAAAACCAAGAAGGTGACATTCAAAAATTTTCACAAGTTGTTTAAATATGGTGCAGACAGACTTTAAGTTGGTTGAAAATATAGAAAACTTACCCTTGTAAAGCTTTATGAATTCGTTCGCACTTTTCCTTCAGAACTAAAAAAATACCTGCATGAAGAAAAAATGCACTTGATAGTGTATCTAGAAGATGATATTACTAATCTAAAAATATTTTTAAAGATTTTTAAAGTTCATCCATTTAAAATGCTGCAAACCCTCCTGCAGACTACGAGCACACAGACAGGAACCCCTGGAGGCCCGAGCCCTGGTCACCGGCACATGTGTCCTGCCAGCTCCTCACTCAGTATCAGCAGAATCTGGGAGGAGGTTTTTCACACAAACAATGGCTCTTGTTCTCATCAGATTCTACAAAGAATCTGGCTAATAAAAGGGTACAAAAATATAACTCTCTGGACCCTTAACAATCTGGTAAAAGATAAACCCTGTAGTAATGTTTTCTATCTTTACCTTGATATCTACATATTCTATCCATGGAAAATTAAAAAACCAAAATATCTAGCAAGAAGCAAGAGCGCCAGGCCTTCTGAGAAGCAAGCTTATGAATGTGCCCCCAGAAACATTCATATTTCCTGATTCTCTGAACTAAAACTATTAAGAATTTAGGAGTTTTAAAAATTCTAAATTTAGAAACACCAGGTAAGGCTTGCTTTTCATTTCTGTTTTAGGCTTTGTGAGGAGTGCTATCAGAGCCTAAAGGCACATGTGAAATTTAGTCAAACTGGCCCAGTAAGGAACCTTTAACGGTTGGTAACCGGGTTTGGCCTTAGTACCAACTCGTGAGTCAAAGACTGAAGGGAAGAAACCAGACAAGCTATAAATCATATTACCGAGAACCAGCAGCGCACTTCAGCTAACTTCTCCAGTGACAACTAGCCCAGAGCTGCCCCTCCTCCTGGCACTGCCGCCCATCCTGGGAGCCAGCCCTGCTTTGGCTCTGGCTCGCCTCCTGGGCGGGGGAGCAGCTGTACACGAATTCCTGAGGCTGGATGACGTCTTCACTGCCATTCTCCCTGGGAATGCCGGGTAGTGCCATGCGGAGGCACAGCTCTGGGTGGTAAACACTTTCCCTCTAGCTAATTCCTCTGAAAGCACGCCAGCAGCCTGGCTGACGTCACCTGTGGTGCCTGGTGTCCTGGGCTCAGAAGATCATACCTGGATTCTCCTCCATGATATTGAGAGCCTCGATCGCAGCGGCAGCCAACAGCGGGGGGAGTGAGGCTGAAAAGCAGTACCCCTGGCCGGAAAGTCGCTGAGAAGAAACGCGCAAGTTAAAGACAGAGATATGCTGCTCTTTCTTTTTGGCTAAAAAACTTAACGGCACCAGATCTGCACCATCTCCGACTGGTGTGTACAAAGAGTCAAGTGCTAGGATCCACACTCGCACACAAGTTACACTTGTGACACAAATAAGACTTTCTTTCTTAAAAAGGGAGATAATTTCGAAAGTAAATACTGAGCGATTCTACTAATAAATCAACTTTTATATAAAAACTGTGGTAAACTAAGTCAGAATGAAATTCTGTGACTGGAAATCACATGCTGATAACTTCTCACCGTGACCAGGGCGACAACGAGTTTCAGTTTCTGCTTGTTTTCCGAAATGAACCCACCTGATGGTCAATCACAAACGACCTGCCACAGCAGAAACCTCCAACAGAAGCGAGCGAGTTCTCCATGTTGGCGCTGATGAGATCGATATCCTCAATCTGCCAAGAAAGTGGAACCGCAGTAGTCATTCCTCAATTTAAAGAAAAGTTGAAGACCGGCATCAAGCCTGCAGACAAAGGTTCGCATTGATCACATCAACATCTCGGTTAAACAAAGGATCAACCACACAAAAGTCATCGTCACAAGGAGAGATGTTTCAAAGTGCACCTCTGGAAGGCACTCACTTTACTCTTTTTGGCCATTTCATCATGCGCGCACGATTTATTCACAGTGGCAGGAGGGAGAAGTTAAAAGAAGATGAAATCCCAAACTGCTTCATACTAAAAATATTCAGAGGCATAAAGTAAAGTGGCCCAGCTGGCCTTCCCCCAGAAGGTGCTTGCGATAACACAAACTAATAGATCAGAGTTTTGAGCATTTTATCCCTACATTCAATTTACTTTCAACTTTTCAAAAATGAAACCAATTACTCTGTGCCCCGTGCGCTGCTGAGTCCCCAGCATCTTCTCAAGTCCGTGCCCCACTGACCCTCACCTTCTGCAGCAGCGTCAAGGGCCACCCCGGACACGCGGCAGCCATCAAAATCACTCACTGATGGCCGCGACGACAGGTGGTCTGAGTGTATCTGGGGGTTCCTAAATGGTCCACACACCCAACAAGGAAATCTGTGCACTCTTTTTAAGAAACCTCTTATTACGAAATTTCAGTCACATAATAAGTACAGAGGATAGAGAACAATTCTCACCGCCACGTTCAGTAATTACCAGCTCGTGGACCATCGTGCACCTCGCACTGCTAGCTCCTTGCTGCCCTCATCATCTCTCTGCAGCAAACCCCAGACTTCATAGCGTTCCAGCTGTAAACGTCTCAGTGCATTTCTAAAGAATATGGACCTTTCCAAAACCATAGTCACAAAACTATTAACACACCTAAAAAGTGAAAAATTTCTTAATATCGTCACATACTCTGTGTTCAAATACCTGTCTCACAAAGCTTGTTTCCTGCAGTATTTGCTGGAATCAGGACCCAAATAAGGTCCATATTATGCACTTTTCCTCACTGCATTTATCACCAAATGTCTGTCTGTCTTTGAGGAGAATGCGTCAGTCTAATTTTGTGTGATATTTGTCCGGCTCTCCATTTTTCTCTGGACTGAACTGCAGGTGGGATACAGGTAATCTCTGATGATTTTCCATGGTCTTTAGTTCAACTTCTTAACACAGGTTGCGAAACTTTTATGCACAGGATTTGCAGGGAAGTTCCCTTCATCCCACCAGTCACGCAGGGGCGGGTGAAGACAGGTCCCGCGGACAGGCTGACGTTGCTTCCC